GGCAACTGAAAAAGTCTAAGAACGCCTGGTTTAGACCATTAATAAAAGGTATAGGTTGTCCCCTCATCTCCATTTCTAAGCTGAAGAGCCAGCGTTGTCCATAGACACGTCCAAGGTCATGTGGCCAGCATGACTGCATGGAGCGCCGTTACCTTCCCGCTGGAGTGGTACCTATTGATCTACTCACATTTGCATGTTTTCGAACTGCTAGGTTGGCAGAAGCTAGGGCTGACAGCGGAAGCTCATGCCGCTCCCTGGAATCAAACCTGCGACCTTTTGGTCAACAAGCTCATAACCAGTAATACAACTATCTAAGAAGACCCCATTCAGTGAAGTTCGCATCTAAATGACAGCTTCCATTTGTATTCCTCTCATCTCCCTGCTCCTGCTTTCGTGCCAGATGGTTATAGCTATGAATGAGCATGTGGTATGTGTGAACAGCAACAGAACTACATAACCTATGAGTTTTGGAAGAAGTGACAAATTCCATTTTAATAATCTTATCCCTTCATCACCATACTCACAAGTTTTGGCACTTCACACCATACATCTGATGAAACAGACTGAAGCCCACAAAAGCTTGTGCTAACCATTTATTTCCCTCCATGTCAGAAGTGCTACAAGATCCAGACTAACAGGGCTAGGTCTTTGAATCCTACCACTATGTAAATGATGCACAGGTAGAAACACAGTCCATAAAATAGATGAAGTAACTAAGCAGTATTCAACCACCAACAGAGGGGTACTGAGGGAGACATAGTTTTAAAAGGGAATTTTCAGAGATGTTCCCAATACCCATATGTCCCGATATACTGCCATATTGACCTGTTTCTGAAATAGACCTTTGTTTACAAAAATGCTGATTGTTTGTGAAGATGTCACTGCAGAGAGGGAGTTACTTTTCAAGGATAGCAGTACATCCTGAAAAAAGTGGCTACCTAGTGGGTAGTTAAAATTCCCCAAGTTTTCCAGTCACTCTGGAATTATGTTTGCAACAAACAGATAAGATTGTTTCATTAAGACAGTCATGGTCAGAGTATAGTTGTGCCATTGTTCGGGTCTCACGTGTGCTATTACATCAGTCAAAATCATAAAGACCCAATGAGCAACTGTACAGCTAGCTTAGACTAATGAAACGATTTGTCTTTGGAAACCAATGAGAACGTGTATTCAATTTACTGCCATAAATGATAAAAAAAACTATGCAGCCCCATTGGGGGTTGTGACAAACCCTTTGATTGCATTCCTGTATGCATGTTTGTCGATATTGCTATGGCCACGCAATAAAGCCTTTGTGGTAAGAATCCAACTTACGGCTTCCTCCTTGAATGGCTACATTGGGCCGTTGAGGGGACTCCTAAGCTTGTGCATTTGCATCACCTCTACCAACATCAGTACCCCTTCAATACTACAGAGTCAAAAACATATGGGCATGAAATAAAATATGTACAATAAATTATATAAATAATAATCATAGGTAAAGGTAAAGGTTTTCGCCTGACATTAAGTCCAGTCGTGTCTGATTCTGGGGGTTCGTGCTCATTTATTTACGACATTTATATGCCGCCCTTCTCACCCTGAAAGGGACTCAGAGGCTTACAAGATATATATACATACAATATATTATATTATTAGCATAGTACAATATCAGTATTATATATTACTATATTGTACTATACCATATATTGTAATATTATTAGTAATATTACATGTAATATAAAATATATAATTATAATAATTTATTACTAGTAGTATTATACTGTATTACATTATAATATAATAAATATTATATGTATATACAATATATAGCACAATACAAGGTGGAACTGTCCTCTGGCCCCCTTCTCTTCACTCTGGCCCAGAGAGGCAGTGGTGCTGGGGGAGGGGTCCCCAACTGATGACATGCAGGAGACAAGATGGAACTGTCCCCTGACCCCCCTCATCTCCATTTCTAAGCCAAAGAGCCAGCGTTGTCCATAGACAACTCCAAGGTCATGTGGCCGGCATGACTGCATGGAGCACCGTTACCTTCCCGCTGGAGCGATACCTATTGATCTACTCATATTTGCATGTTTTCGAACTCCTAGGTTGGCAGAAGCTGAGGCTAACAGCAGGAGCTCATGCCACTCCCTGGATTTGAACCTGCAACCTTTCGATCAGCAAGTTCAGCAGCCCAGTGCTTTAACCCACTGCGCTACCAGGGGCTCCAAATAATAATCATATAAATACAATAATATAGCACGTGAACTATCATAAAATATTATTAACGCTCTGCCAGTTAAGCTAGGTCTGCCTGCGATCTCTCATTCTCCGACTGAATGTCTAGAAGACCCAAGGTCAAGAATCTTGTTTGGAGAGATGCTAACTGTAATAAATAAACAAACAGAAGTGAGGGTCAAATCAGTTTCTCTCTGATGCAGAAGGCATACCAAGGATATTGGGAGCCTGTGAACCAAACCAAGAAACATCAAGATTGGTTTGACCAAAATGACAACGAGATCCAACAGCTAATTGACAAGAAAAGAAATGCCTTCCAAACATGGCAGAGAGATGTTAACTGTGCTGCTAAGAAAAAAGATCTATGCCAGTGCAAAAGCTGAGGTCCAAAGAAGGACAAGAGAACTTAAGAACATCTGGTGGACAAAGAAGGCTGAAGAAATTCAACACCTGGCAGATACCCATGATGCTCAGGGATTTTTCAAAGCCACAAAGGTCATCTATGGACCAAGAAACCATGGCATACAGCCTCTACAGTCATCAGATGGAACCAAACTTCTGAAGGACAAAAAATCAATTGCACTATGTTGAAAAGAACACTACCAAAGCCTCTTGAATCGCAGCTCCAGTGTGGCCGAAGAGGTTCTCTCACAAATCCCACAAAAAACAAACAAGGGATGAGCTTGCAGCACTGCCTAGTTTGGAAGAAGTCAGTAATGCCATCAGCCAACAAAAAAATAACAAAGCCAGCGAACCTGATGGGATCCCTGCTGAAATCTTTAAAGAGGGAGGACCTGAGCTGACAACAACTCCACCAGCTCATAGAAAACAATTCCATCAACGCTGCCTCCAGAAAATCCTGCAAATCTCTTGGGAAGATACGCGGATAAATGTCAGCGTGCTGGAAGAAGCAAATACCACCAGCATTGAAGCGATGGTCCTCCGCCATCAACTCTACTGGACCGGCCACGTTGTCTGGATGCCCGACCACCATCTCCCAAAGCAGTTGCTCTACTCTGAACTCAAGAATGGAAAATGGAATGTTGGAGGACAGGAAAAGAAATTTAAAGATGGCCTCAAAGCCAACCTTAAAAACTGTGGCATAGACACCGAGAACTGGGAAGCCCTGGCCCTTGAGTGCTCCAGCTGGAGGTTAGCTGTGACCAGCAGTGCTGTAGAATTCGAAGAGGCACAAATGGAGGGTGAAAGAGAGAAGGTGTATCAAGCTAACCCCGACTGAGACCATCTTCCACCTGGAAACCAATGCCCCCACTATGGGAGTAGATGCAGATCAGAGGGCCCAAAATACCTTTCGGACCGCATCTTGGCCTATGAGCCCACGAGGACCTTGAGATCGTCTGGGGAGGCCCTTCTCTCGATCCCGCCTGCTTCACAGGCACGTCTGGCGGGGACGAGAGAAAGGGCCTTCTCGGTGGTGGCCCCCCGGCTGTGGAACAACCTCCCTGCTGACATCAGACAGGCGCCCTCCCTTCTGTCCTTCCGTAAGAGCCTGAAGACCTGGCTATTTGAGAAGGCATTTAACTGAGGAGCTACGGCAACTGGTAATTGACAACTGGAACGGAATACGGATTACGATATTGGTTATGATTCTATGATGTGACGGAGCGGATTATTTAGTGTAACCAGATTATAGTGTATTATTGTTGTATTGATTCCCTGTTTTGCCCTTTTTGTAAACTGTTTTTATATGTTGTGCACCGCCGCGAGTCGCCCTAGGGCTGAGAGCGGCAGTCAATAAATGCAGTAAATAAATAAATAAATAAATAAATATTCCAGAGCCAGGAGGCACTACAGAGAAGGCCCTCTCTCTCGTCCCCACCAACCATGCTTGAAATGATGGTGGGACGAGGGGGGTATCAGAGGAGTCACCAAAGACCATCAGAAAACACAGTATGTTCTGTTGCTCATGGGGGTTCTGTGTGGGAAGTTTGGTCCAATTATTTCATTGGTGGGGTTCAGATGCTCTTTGATTGTAGGTGAACTATAAATCCCAGCAACTACAACTCCCAAATGCTAAGATCTATTTTTCCCAAACTCCACCGGTGTTCACATTTGGGCATATTGAGTATTCATGCCAAGTTTGGTCCATACCCATCATTATTTGAGTCCACAGTGCCCTCTGGGTGTAGGTGAACTACAACTCCCAAACTTATGGTCAATGTCCTCCAAACTCTTCCAGTACTTTCTGTTGGTCATGGGAGTTCTGTGTGTCAAGTTTGGTTCAGTTCCATTGTTGGTGGAGTTCAGAATGCTCTTTGATCGTAAGTGAACTATAAATCCCAGGAACTACAACTCCCAAATGACAAAATCAATACTCTCCCCACCCAAACTCTATCAGAATTCAGATTTTGGTGTATTGCTATTTGTGCCAAATTTGGTCCTGAGAATGAAAATCCTTATAGTCCTCATATCAGATATTTACATTACAATTCATAACAGTAGCAAAATCACAGTTATGAAGTAGCAACAAAAAATGTTATGGTTGGGGGTCACCATAACATGAGGAACTGTATTAAGGTTCTGTCATGACATTAGGAAGGTTGGGAAACACTGTATTAGAGGGAGGGCTACAGATCTCCAGCAAAGTTCCAGGTCTATCCCCAAACTAACTCCATCCCAGCCCTGATTAAGATGGGCCATAGCAATGCAAAGGGATGCAAAGGGGGAACTAATTGTGCTCAGTCGAAATGCCCCCTCTGGTGGAGAAAGGAAATAATCACACTGACAGCAAGACCTGGGGTTCCTCCTTGGGGCGAACTTACGCTGTAGTAGCCCATGCCGGCTGCGATCAGGAGCATCACGGAAGTTCGAGGGGACCGGAAGTACATGTTGGGATCCCGCGATGTAGCTGCCATTGTTAATGCCCAAGCGCGATCACTCCAGTACTGCCCTCGGCGGCAACCTCCCCCTTTTATACCTGTCCCTCTCACGATCTCCGCCAATCAGGAAGCGCCTGCCGTTGAGGAGGGGAGGAGCTGCCCGGCGTTCCATGTATTGTTTGACTCGCAAAGCGATGAAACGGCCGAGAGGTCCTGAGGAGGAGTTCTGAGCATGCGCACTTGCCTCAGGCTCACTCTCGCCTCGTCCCCATCCGAATCCCTTTCTCTTCACTGAAGCAGGGCTGCTTTGAAAGGAAGGGAGACGGTAAAATGAATGGAGTTCTGAGCATGCGCACTCGCAACCTGAGGCTCACTCCCCGCCCCCACCCAAATCCCTCTCTCTTCACTGAAGCAGGGCTGTTTTGAAAGGAAGGGAGAAGGTAAAATGAATTGCAAGGCTTATCTTCTCACTTTTCTTCCCTCTGGCAATGTTTGGGAATTGTGGAGAGGTGGCAACTTTGCAGAAGTTCAAGACCTCACAACCTCTGAGGTATTTTTTTTTGTAGTGTCAGGAGCGACTTGAGAAACTGCAAGTCGCTTCTGGTGTGAGAGAATTGACCGTCTGCAAGGACATTGCCCAGGGGACGCCCGGATGATTTGCTGTTTATATCATCCTTGTGGGAGGCTTCTCTCATGTCTCTGTATGAGGAGCTGGAGCTGATAGAGGGAGCTCATCCGCCTCTCCCTCGGATTCGAACCTGCGACCTGTCGGTCCTAAGTCCTGCCAGCACAGGGGTTTAACCCACTGCGCCACCAGAGGCTCCACCTCTGAGGATGCCTGATGGCAAGCGGTTTAACCTCAGCAGACTGAAAGCCAAAACCAAGGTTTCAACAACATCTGTTATAGAACTCCAGTATGCTGATGACAATGTCGTCTGTGCGCATTCAGAAGAAGATCTACAAGCCACTCTAAACACTAGGCCTGGGTAACAACGCAAAAATTTGTTTCTAAAATCGATTTGTATTTGGGGTTTTTTTTGTTTCGATATTTAAAATAATTACAAAATTTTCCTTTTAAAAAGTTCGATATTTACGAAATTTCGTAAATGGTAAAAAATTAACGAATCGATTTCCGAAACAATAACGAATCGATTCGTTAATGGCGGACGCGACCGCGAAATACGCTAAAAAACCTCCAAACCCTTCTGAAGCTTCCCTCTCCCTCTGTTGTTGACTGTTGGTGTGATATTATAATTTTTTTTCACTAATTAAACCATAAAACTGGCCCAGACATGCGGAAATAATAACGAAACGACCTCAAAACAATAACGAAACGAATACAATATCGAAATACGAAGCATTTACAAAACGTTTTTGAAAATTCGGTTTTTTTAATAATTGCTCCAGAATGGTTCGTTATCGTTTTGTAATTGAAAAAATTAACGAATTATTAACGAATTACGAATTAACGAAACGAAACCGCCCAGCCCTAGTATGTAGCCATGATTTAGAAGCTTACGAGAAGCTCGTCTTGTCATTGAACATCGGGGAAACCAAAGTGCTCTTCCAGCAGTCACCGGCCAATCCTTCTCCAATGACAGAAATACAACTTAATGGTGTAACATTAGACAATGTGGACCCTTTCCGCTCCCTTGGCAGCCACCTCTCCACCAAAGTAAACTTTGACACCGAAATACAACACCGCCTGAGCTCTGCGAGTGCAGCGTTTTTCCGAATGAAGCAGAGAGTGTTTGAGGACCGGGACATCCGTAGGGATACCAAGGTGCTTGTTTATAAAGCTATTGTCCTCCCAACCCTGCTATATGCCTGCGAGATGTGGACAGTCTACAGACGTCACATGCAACTCCTGGAACGATTCCATCAGTGCTGCCTCCGGAAAATCCTGCAAATCTCTTGGGAAGACAAGCGGACAAACATCAGCGTGCTGGAAGAAGCAAAGACCACCAGCATTGAAGCAATTGTCCTCCGCCATCAACTCCGCTGGACCGGCCACGTTGTCCAGATCCCCGACCACCGTCTCCCAAAGCAGTTGCTCTACTCCGAACTCAAGAACGGAAAACGGAATGTTGGTGGGCAGGAAAAGAGATTTAAAGATGGGCTCAAAGCCACCTCAAAAATTCTGGCATAGACACTGAGAACTGGGAAGCCCTGGCCCTTGAGCGCTCCAGCTGGAGGTCAGCAGTGACCAGCAGTGCTGCAGAATTTGAAGAGGCACAAATGGAGCGCAAAAGAGAGAAACGTGCCAAGAGGAACACGTGTCAAGCCAACCCCGAAAGCAATGCCCTCACTGTGGGAAAGATGCAGGTCAAGAACTGGGCTCCACACCACCTACAGATCCACAAGAATACTGATCCTGGAAGACTATCCTACTCGTCAAACGAGGGATTGCCTAAGTAAGTAATAGATGCAGGTGAAACGTCAGGAGAGAATGCTTCTGGAACATGGCCAGACAGCTGGAAAGACTTACAACAACCCAATTCAAGTAGCGTTGGACCTTAATGCCCTGAAGGTACACAGTCTTTAAGCAAATTCTTTAAAAGATTTGCACACACTAAAATGACACCAAATGCATATATAGTACTCCCAAAACAGAGAACTAACACAACTCTCTGGCCCTCAGAGTGGCTTACAATTTGGCAAAATTAAATGCTGCATTTCAATACAAATAGACCGAGATCACACATCTTTCCCTAGCATTTTTGAAAAGAACGTGTTATGAATGTGGCAACAAAAACACAAAACTTCTACCCAATGCCCTCAAAAAAGTAGCCAAGCACCAAGCTGGTATGAAACAGTCAAGGGGATCTTACTAACAAACCTAATGAAATAAGGCATTTAAAGACTTCTGTACAAATTTATATTCATCAGAATTAGAAAGGAATTTGAATATAGAAGAATTTATTTATTTATTCTTTATTTCTCGCACTTCTACCCCACCCTTCTCAACCCCCGAGGGGGGACTCAGGGCGGCTTACAAAAAGGCACAATTCGATGCCGGCACAACAACAAGGTAAAAAATAAAACATATAAACAGTAATTAAAACAATTAAAACAATCCATTATACATCACAATCCCTAAAAACAATCTAGTGCTCAACGTTTACCAGCTCATTGTCCGTAATCCATCAATTCTAGTCGTCGCTTGTCCCTTATCTATCCGCCAGATTACCCGAAGGCCTGGTCCCAAATCCATGTTTTTAATTTCCTTCTAAAGGAGAGGAGGGATGTCGATGACCTAATTTCCCTGGGGAGTGAGTTCCACAGGTGAGGGGCCACCACCGAGAAGGCCCTGCTCCTCATCCCCACCAATCTCACTTGTGATAGAGGTGGGGCCGAGAGCAGGGCCTCCCCAGAAGATCTTAAACTCCGAGGTGGGACGTAGAAGGAGATGCGTTCGGACAGATACGCTGGGCCGGAACCATATAGGGTTTTGTAGGTCAAAACCAGCACTTTGAATTGTGCTCGGAATTGGATCGGCAGCCAGTGGAGCTGACATAACAGAGGGGTGGTATGCTCCCTGTATGATGCTCTGGTGAGTAATCTAGCTGCCGCCCGCTGGACTAATTGAAGTTTCCGAACAGTCTTCAAAGGCAACCCCACGTAGAGTGCGTTGCAGTAATCTATTCGGGATAAGGAATCTTCCCACAAAGCATATCCAGAATGAACACAGAGAGATACTGAATGCCCCTATAAGCCTTGACGTGTGACAACTTCAAAGCCATTCCTAGTTGTAAACTCAACTTTTTGCCTCCATTTCCATTTTCTGCTTTCTCCACATTTGACCACTCTTTAGCTGTTTCAAGCGGCAAGGCTAGGCCCACTTGTGTGGGGCAAGTTCATTGAACCCAGTGGAACTCTGCTTCCGAGTAGATGGGTGCAACATTGCTGTTTCAAATGATGTTTCTCCATATTCTTATCGGAGTTCACAACTGAATTCTATAATGAGACTTTCCACCAACACAGAGCAGTAGGGTTCTTAGGCTAAGTCATGCTAAAGCTGTGCCAACTGGTTCGTACACTCAGTACCATAATTATGAAAATAAAATGTATCTCAGCCCTTATCTGAAAGTTAGCATATGACAACAGAGGTCTGTGTGGGTGTACATTCCTAAAATGTAGAATCGTGGCTTCTGATCTAGGAACAATACATGGAGAAATGTCACTGCACCAGAAATGACACCTTAACAATAGAATCAGTATTGGGTGTTGAAAGGCTTTTGGTCACATACATACACTGTGCTTTGTGCCCACAGTGTGAGGCACAAAGCAAATATTGCTCCCCTGATTGCAAGGCAATGGCAACACACAAATCTTGTTGAAGGAGGAGGAGAAGGAGGTGAGAGGTAATGCTCGCATTTCACACTAGTTCATCTAACAGAAAGACATAGTTCTGCTCCCTACATCCCAAATCCAACAGGACTAAAAATGCAGCTCTACTACAGGGGTGTCAAACTCATTTTCATTGAGGGACACATCAGCCTTATGGATGCCTTCAAAGGGCAATTGAATCCTGGATGGAGAATCCATGGATACAAAGATCAAACTATATTTTTGTACATTGTAATTAATATGCTTTAGTTTTTACCCAGTTGGTATCTCCAGATATAATTGAATGACAACTTCCATCACTTTTGATTTCCACTGTATGGACTGGGGATAATTGGAATTGCAATCCAGCAACTCTTGTGGTTTTGAGATTGAGGAAAAGTGAAAGGACATTTCATAGTGAAGTGAGGATTCGAACCCTCAAGTGTCTTACTCCCAACTTTGGCTTAGTTACTTTCAGCATCAAGCTGTAAATTGGCACCTTCTAGTGGAAAGATCCCATTGTTGCACTCTGCTGTTATTATCTTCTTCTGCATGTGTACGTTGTTTCAGCTGTCTCGTTGTTCAATTCTATATATTGGCTCCTTCTTTATAAATATAATTAAGGTACACATCCAGAAATTCCAGGGTAGGAAGTTTCAGTTCCATCCCCTTCCTCCTTAGTCTTCCCATCCTCACCTCCCCCCCTCCTCCCCCCACCACAAAGTGTTTTGGATTTTTTCCAGACTAAAAACTGCTCCAAAAGCAAATATTTCTGACAGAAGGTCATGATCATCCTGCCATGAGGAACAATTTTTTTTCACTATCAGTGGTTCTCAACCTGGGGTCCCCAGATGTTTTTGGCCTTCAACTCCCAGAAATCCTAACAGCTGGTAAACTGGCTGGGATTTCTGGGAGTTGTAGGC